CTCGTGCTGTGTGTCTCACAAGCGACCCACTTTCTGTGTAAGTGTACAACCAATCCCAGCCGTAGCCAGCTGCGGCTACGACGGAGCTTGCGATAAGCGCGAAACGAGCTTTCCATTACTCCTTCGAAGACGCGTAAAAAGTTAAGTACCTTGACTTACGTAGTACGTAACAACTCAAGGTTTGCCTTAATTAATTTCTTTTTGTAGCTGTCGTAGAGGGCCAGACGTGTAATTAAATCTGGCATTTAATACCGCCGCTACATTCGGCTTGCATGGTTCATGTAATTACAATGGAGACGCTTGGAGCGTTGCACAAGTCTCGTATTTTCCAACAGCTCTATCTAGCGATAAGAAAAATATAGCTGTACTCATACTCAATTATTAAACATAAAATTGCTGTTGATTCAACGTTAAAATATCTCGGCGCGTCTTTAATTACAAAGATTTTAGTTTTTTCTTAATTTAAGGACGCGCGCTTTAATTACATTTTAAATATTACAATATCAGATCCATTACATAGGAATAATATAGCAACATAAATTACGGATAAAAATGAGTAAAATTAAAATATTTATGTGTTGCATTTTACGTGCATAATTATTATGTGTACGTAATATGTTATAAAATTTTATTATATTTCTAAACTGTCTTATTTTCCAAATTAGATAAAACATAATTTATATTAGATTTTTTATGTTGAATTTGTCAATGAAAAAGATAAATGCTTTAAATGACAATTAAATAAGATTTCATAGAAAAAAATGAAAAAGATTTTAATATTTGCCCATTGTTCAGATCTCATATATAAGTGATGAAATATGGAAATGTTCCCTAAAATAAAATTAATTATTGCGGTTTTTATTTCAAAAAGCTTTTCATGAAGATACTTCGTACATCCCCCCCCCCCCCCCACACACACACACAAGAGAGACGTACATTGTCCGTTCTTTCATTTTTCACCGTTTCAGACGCTGCTGTAGCGAGGTTTCGATTACTTCCAAAGCGTTCCATCGTTCCATCTTCAATTACACTTAATCGCCACGACGCTCGCAATAAAACGGTCACGACTATATCTGTCGTTTGCGATAGCTACGCTTGCTGCTTTTTCACGCTAAAATGTTTGCTGCGGCAATAGTAAACATAGGACAACTTGCGAGAGACTTTCCTATCTGTGATGCTTTCTTTGCGCGTAGCGTCATCTTAATTTATCCGATCTTGCAGAAAAAATTATTCGAGGATGATTACTATCAAAAGGGAACGAAATTTATAAGAATGGAAGAAGTAGCAATATTCAATCATGTATCCCTGTGAACCTCCACCATTAAAAAAATGTTCGGTACAATTTGCAAGAAATAAATAACAAAAGTAGGAGTGTTGCCTTATTCGCGTTACGCTAACACTCCCATTCCTGAAAAATACCCATAAAATACCGTAAACAAAAAATCGATATATCTGAATATTTTGCTAATTTTTTGCTCTAAATACTGCAAAAGATATCGAAAGTATTGAATAGTTATAAATGTATATACCGATATCAATTTTGGTATTAATGATTCCAGAGAATTAATTGGTTTTAAAATATCCTGCTCCCATTGCTCACTGTTTAACTTTACAAAGTCGATCGACATTGTGGCGGTGCTGGTGGCGGCGTTACGTACAAGAGTAATGTTAAACAAATTAGTTGCCGTGCCGATTTTGGTGTTAAAATAATTCTAGAATTAATTGCTCTTAAAATATTCTGGTCTCGAATTCATTGCTCACTATTTAACTTAACAAAATTGATTGACATTTTGTGGCAGTAATAGCGTCACGTACAAGAGTAAAGTATGCTAAATGAATTAGTTGCTGTATGTCGATTTTGATATTGAAATGATTCTAGAATTAATTGCTCTTAAATAATAAAATATCCTGGTTTTGAATTTATTTTAAAGTAAAAAATAGCAAAAAATTCTGGTGTATCGGATTTTTTGTTTACGGTATTCTATACGTGTTTTTCAGGAGTGAGGGTGCTAGCGTAACACGAAGGCAGCATCCTCTCACTTTTGATATTAATTTCCTGCGAATGGATAGGAGCAATAAATACAGGACTAGAATAATAAATTAGCAATAAATTTGTACTTAATTATACCGTATACACTAACTTTTTTTAATAATGGGGTGCTAGGGTCACTCGTGTCGATCATGTCCGTAATGAATCAAGGATCTGTTCCAAAAGTGCACGTTTCACTAAGGGCATGATTGCCAGCAGCCAAACTATCAAAGTTCTGTAACCGCGATAAACTTCATATTCAAGCACGAACTTCAAAAAGCAATTATCTTAATCTGGTATAATTTGCATTTCTTGCATCACGCACACACACACACACACACACATACACACGATTTTATTTTATTCCTGTATAATTTAAATTCCGATATACTCGCATAAATTTTAAACGTTATGGCAATCTGATCTATAATGCAGGATTATCGACAATAAGTTTTTACGTTGCTTTAAATAATAATTTTTATTTTTAACAACAAATCCGATTACGCGGTATTGAGAAATCGAGGAGCTCTGTAATTCAGGGCATGGCATAGCTGATACATTGTTTGGAACGTTGTTGCACGCTAAGATTAACGGATAATCCGTTATCCGACGGTGCGGTTTGTCATTGCGGGACAAGCGATCACTATGGACGTTTAATCGTATCCCTCCATGACTTTTAATTAGAAGCCGCAATGACGGACTGTAGTTCAGGTATTGCGCAGTCGATACTCATCTCGAGCGCTACAATATACACGTTGGTCGGGAAGACACCTAATACACGTATTATCGACTTTGTAATAGAGTGATCCTCCACGCTCAATGACCTCGCTGCATAATGAGGTGTTGAGAGTTACATTGCGGCTATATAACCGCATTCGCCTCTTCACTTTTTCTGCGGTCAAATAGATAGAACGCCGCGATGCACCATTCAGCAATAGTCGATAAACACGGTCAATCATTTATTTTCAAGATCACTTCTTCGCGCGTCCGATTAATCGCTGAAATTGCCATATCATTGGAGTCACGCGTCATAATTTAAAATAGATTTTAATGTAAAATTGTTCGTTTGGGGTTATTTCGGGATACATATAGCTGCGGGATAAAAATTTTTTTAAATAATTCACAAAGTACTTTTGAATAAAAGTGAAAGTGCCATAGATAATGATCTAAATTATTTGATATTTTGATTAATTCATTATATATGAACGAATGGTAAGTGTAACTAGTGCCGATCTATTGTCCAACAACCATTAGTTTCGTTATAATTGTTATATTATTGTCCAAAGGCACAATCTAAATTTCAATGATTTAATCGGCTTTTAATATTACATTGTACATTGAATACTTATTAATTTCCATTATTGTATATCGTTTAATTATAACGTATTCGTTATTTCGTAATAAATGGATTTTATCGTTAATCATTTTATGTATCATTTCTTCCAATTTATTAAACACAATACCTGTATCTATTATTACAGATATTTTATTCTGTTTTATATGTTTAAACGAATTTCGATTTGAAGGTCCTTGTGTTTGGGAATTCGATGATTGATTTCGCAACTCTTTTAGCTGCTATTGCACATTTTCGCAAAAAAGAAGGAAAAAAAAAGAAAAATGCAGAGCTCAAAGCATATTGTTCTGTCTCGACTGTATTTGCCGATTATTAAAATCCCATAAAACTCGTTGGCTATGACAATGAGCCGAAGGTGCTCCTCGAAGCGAGATATAGGGAAAGAGCAATCTGGAAACGGATGGTCTCTAAGTTCATCGGAAAAAGTTTCGCGGCTACACTATATTTGCACCCCGAAATTAACATAAGAGACCCCCTTTTGCTAACCCGAACTTGAGCCTTCACTCGGAGAAACTTCGGAAAGGTCAGAGTCTGCAGTAGGTTTTCAGAGTTTACTCGACGGCGAACGTAAGCGGGCATCGTGTCTCGTTATTCACGCTGTCCGATTTCTTTCGCGCTCGCACGTACTTGCCGCGGGCTTGTGTTTGCCGTTCCATTAGCCGGAAAAATGTATGAATATGCAGCAAGAACGGCTTATCCGCGCTGTTCACGTCATACGGATTTACGTGTCAGTGTCCCCGACATCATACTTAATTATATTTCTTAGCGACGCGACAAAAAAAGTTCTCTAGCTTCGGATTAGTTCTCTAACTACGGAGCTATTAATCGGACATCGGAATCATTTTCTATCCACGTTAAAATGATTTTTATGGCATCTCCGTGAAACTTCTCTCTGGTCCGATATATTTTCGATTTATAAGTCAGATACTTAATTTATATCTCGTATATTAACGAAATTTTACAATTCGCGGACATCTCTTCTCACCTTTAATTACTATAATTTTTTTTAGTAATATTAAATACTGGCAAATAAAAAAAGAGTTACATAAAAAGAGGATAATGTTTTGTAATAAATGTTTTATAATATTAGATATCGCGTGTACATCGACGCTCAATGCCAAATTGATGACGCATATGTTGCGGTGTGCATAATTAGCGACGTTTGGAATTATTAATAGAAGGATTTATTACTCCCGCTGTACTATACCCGGCATATATCACTCGATGATATGCATTCGTACTTTCATGTAGCATGTTATTGAAATATACATCCGATTTGAAGATAGAAATATACATTCAAAGATAGTCAGTTGCATGTTATATCAGGGAGATGCGTCTCAATCGTGGGACCAACACAGAATATTATTAATAATGATAAACTGCAAAAAATGGCGCACCGATAAATCAGCGTAAATGCGAACCGAGCGATTAGATAGTTTCATTCCTCAAAAGATAGAAAAAGGAGAAATAGCGGATAATAAAGTGGTAAAGCGAGAAACTGAAAATGATACATCACGCGCGGTGATGTATACATGTACCAAAAATTGAAAAACATTTGTTAAACTACATTGAATAATTAACTCATAACAAGTTTGTTTCTAAAGTGGGTTACGTTACCTGACACTCGTACGTCCCATTGTCTCTTTCTTGGACGTATTTTATTTGAAGGGTCCAATCGTCCGAGCCCTCGGGATGCAGTACTTGAAATCGCTCGTCGTTCGTATATGTGAACATGGAGCTTGTTAAAACGTGAAAGTCACGTCGCCGGATCCACGATATCTAAAACATAAATATTAATTGATGGTTAGTGATAATATTAATGAATATTCAAAAGACCATTTAATTAGTTTTGCAACAAGAAATAAAAAATAGATAAAATCTATAGTAAAAAATATGAGAAATTTTACATCTCTCATGTAAATGAATTTTGTCTTAATACGGGGAATACTTTAATTTAGCAAATTAAAATGTTAAAATGTTAAAATAAATAATCTCTATTTAATTTGCCAGACATATCCATAACAGAATATAAAAGACATACCTTGAATTTTAATTGAAATAAATATTGTTAAAAAAATGTGGAGTTACCAGCACGTATATTTGCGTTCATATAAATTGAATTAACATAACCGATTGGATTAAAACTGAAAATAATACGTCAGGCGTTTTTAATGGCTCTTGATAAGCATGCAAAATTATTATTTCTATAGATGTAAAAAAGTCATAATAAAATGGTAGTGGTACAAAAACGTCACTCTTATGTAAATAATATCAATCTGTATATTGCGTGAAACAGGAAAGAGATTCGGTACAGTCATGAATATGTCATGTTAAAATAATCCTGTTTGATACATTGGCGTTTTGTGTAAATAAAGCGAAAAAGATGAACGACCGTTATATTATACCACGTAAAATGGAAACGTGTTTAACTTTATATAACTGCGAAAATTTTTCAAGTAAAATGTTTTGTTATATTACCTCTACACATGTACAGTAATTTGATCACAAAACCTATTTTAATTGAACGTTAGACTATTACAAAAATGCAATCACGTGCACGTAAACATTTCACGAAATTTAATTATAATCTGACTGCAACGAATTAGACACTCTTGCTGCATCTTGCTTTTAATATGACGTCAAAGATAGAAATTTATCTTTTTTAGATAACAAGTTATTCTTTTACTCCAACTACACTGATATTTTAATGTAAAAAAATTTCATCAGAAAACTTTTATTGTTAAATCCTCAGCGTGCAAAATTGTTAACATTCTTTCTACGCAAAACAAAGAATACACAAGTGGAAAGAAATAATAAACCGGTCTGTCTCTGATCTTGTCACTTTTGGAGATATAAATATTAAAATAATAATTATTTTCATAAAATGCACAATTTTGCAGATATAAATATGAAAAGAGAATGAAGAAAAAAAATCGTTTATATGTCCCGCAAGCCATTTTCGTGTTTCTCGCAATTACAATCGCTATTGTTTATCAAACGAGAGAGTTTGCGAAACGGAGTCTGTGGAGAACTGGTTTTAGCGGTACTTAGTAACTTCGCCCCTGCTCAAACGCTATACGACCTATCTTGCGACCCGGTGGGACCGAGCACGATATTGCATAAATAGTAAAATTGTGAGAGCCGGAAATACGATCCCGACCTCCGGGGGAATGCGGCAGACCTGCCCGCATTCTCCTCAGACGGGGCTGCCTGCTTCCTTCCTCTCTGTTGATGCTTTAAGATCATTGTAGAAAGAGAATGCATAAAACATAAGGTTTAAACCTCGCGGCCAATCACGGCATCTCTATCGAATTGCCACTGCCACGTATGAAGCATATAAATGCCGCGCGATATATCAGATTACGTGCAATGAAATAAATTTCCACGTTTTTATTTCGATGACGAGCAAATCGATAAATATGTAGAGGAAAACTTTTGGATTTTAATTTAATTAAATTAATTATTGTCTTTTTCTTAATTCATCGTGCGATTAAATATCTTTTTTAATTCACATTGTGAATTTATTGAAATTGTATAAACTAACACTTTTCAATCCTTAATTTCGACCGCGACATAAGAATAAGTAATTTCTTTAATTAGATTCAACAGTATTACTTCAAAAAGTATAAAATATTTCAACAAATATTTAAAAAATTTTATCAAATATGTAAAATCAGATTTGAAACGGCACATTAAATATTTTGTAGCAATAATATTAAGTTTTTACAGTACTTGCCGTTTTATGCAAATAAAGAGAAATGTGTTGACCCAATTGTTTGCCAACTGTGCTAACATTTAGCATAATATATACAATTCATCTTGAAAATATATATTTATATATATGTGCTTCTTTCTATTTTAAGTAAGCTAAATAGCAAGAGAAATTGCAAAGTCGCGTTTACATCGATGTAAATATGCTAATTTCTGGTACAGCATTATGTTTACGTAATAATATTAATTTGCAGACTTTTCACGAGCGCTGGCAAGCTGGACAAGATGCTCGGAAATTTCAAGTGGCGAAACTTCACCGCAGTATGATTGCCAGCTCTGCGCTACAATCAAGTGCTTCAATGTTTCCAAGCATTCGGAAGAGATCGCTTCGTCCGAAGGCATTAAACCACTTGAGGTACTTCGATCGGTTTCAAACTTTAGATTGATGTGAAATTTCTTGGTAAACCAATTATTATGGATTTGTTTTTCTCCTTCTGTGATCTGTATAAAAGTTGAACTTATATAGAGTACCTATACGTTTTCGAAGAAATGATCACGAGAAACATAGAAGGACGAAGCAATGATCTAACATGATAATTGCCAGCTTGGCGTAATTTTTCCTTAGATATGGATTGGAATTTTTATTTTGATTGTGGTAAGAGAGGACCATTTCATTGAACTTTAGATTCTCGAGTCAAGCATGTACTTCTGTTATACCTCAATGACGGTTATTTTTCTGGATTTTCGTATATCTGTCGTCTGTATTTAAGCATTCCTTTTGATGGCTTTGCAAGTACGCTTTACAAGATTAAACGTGGAGCCGTATACTGAAAAGGAATCTTGTTTTTTTTTCTGGTCAAAACGATCTCGTCCAATAGTGATTCAGGGAGAAGAGTTTGTTCCGACGACTCTTGAGACTCGATGAGAGCTCCGGACGAAAGGCATACCCGACGTGGAAAGTTTACGTCGTCGAAATTTCGACAGAACAACCGGCGAGGTCGATTCTATTGCCGTGTAGAGTGCAGCAGGCTGTATGATGTATGTAGGTCACCGTTTCTCTCATCCTTTTACGTGCAGTGGACCATCGGTGCATCAATTGAAAGAAGTATGTCGCTATGTTGCGGGTACGTCAGTGTATATTCGTGCGATACTTGAAGACATGTTTGAAAAAGTACCAGACAAACGGGCGAAAACATGTTGGCTTCTGTATATCGCGTGATACACACGAAAACTTTTCAAAGATGTATCTTTCTTTGTTCTTTACTGTTTTCCATCATTTATCTGTTACGAGATTCAACATGTTAATCCAATGCTACGTAATAATTTTAGAAGAGATCTATTATCTAGTAATTCTATTATCTAATAAAAATATAGAGATATAAGTATTAGATATTTTATTATCAATTTGCTTAAGAGCAAAATTAATAACTGAATATGTTCTTAATCATTAATTTGCTTCATACTGTGTAATTTATTCAGTGAAGAGAGAAAGAGAACATATTCCGGAAGCAGATTGGTGATGGGTACAATGAGTAACATTAGGTTCATGTAACCTCCATGGATGACTGACCACAGCCAGTGCTTGGTTATCTCGCTAAAGGGTTAGGTCAGGTATATCCTGTCTGGCTTTTCAGTTTCTGTTTCACGCTACTCGAACATCATGAAACATTATGGTTGCGGTATTTGCCGTCTGAAGTTCCGCGGGTAGCCGCAAATGTTATTTTCGAACATCACGCTACTTTATCATAATACTATATCTACGTTTTGATTTCGGTCAAAATATTTGCGGGCCAAATTAATTTGTAGTTAGACAGACAATAATAAAGTTATACATCATGTTGAGTCTCGTATACGCAATAGATATTACACAATAGATATTACATCTAGTTCGATAAGTGCAATGTGAATGCTATAGCATTTTGGCTTGTATTAACGAAACAGATGAAACGATTAGATTTATCCATATTTATATTTCAATAAATCTAGTACGAGATTTTATCAATCTAAAAATATGTTCGTATTTATTGCACAAGAATGTTTATAATTTCCGACATACATAAAATAAGAAGCTGTCAGTAAAAAATTGTTAGTAAAAAATTGATAACAAGTTGTTGAGAATAAGAAAAACCTTCTATTTATTTTATTGCAAAATTAAAAAAAAAATAGAAGTAATTTGATATACTCAAATACCACAAAACAAGATAAAGATTATTTTTGTTTTCTGTAATCTATTGATTTAATTAAAGAATGATTAGATATTCATAACATAAACAATATAAGATTTTCAATCTTTCGATTATTTCACGTAAAAGCTTAAATGCCATATCTATAATTTTTTTTACATACACTTTATATTGCCGACTTTTATGCACCATTGTAAAGCGCTTTGGATCTTGATAATAAAAAATACATTATCCCTTCTCTCTGCAGAGTTTACAGAAAAGAAATAATCCTTTTAAGATTATAGTGCCGCGTTATTCGGATTATGGCATCGCGCGGAATCTTTTGGTGTGCGCGTGATCGGAAAGATCGCGTATGCAACGTGATATCAGATGGAGTGGGAACGACCGGAAGCTCGGTCGCGCGAACGAAATCGTTTCGGTTATCGAAGTGATCGCGCGAGATCGTCAATGGCGAGGAAAGAAATTGGGGAAAGAAACCGAAAAAGAAAATACACGCGTTATGGAGAGTGGACTGATAACGTGGAGAGTCTCCGCGTTGCGTGCCGGCTCGTTTCGTATCACCGCTCGAACGGAACGAAGCGTGATTGCTGGCGCTATCTCGGGACACGCGAGATCGCTCGGTTATACGAGCGCGCGATCCGGCGATAACCCGTGCCGGTCCCGCCACCGATTGTTAACGCGTTAATGGAGTTACTAAATGCGAACGCGCGCACAGTCCCTCAACACAACGCGCGGCGGCTTCTGTGCATCTCACGTTCTCTCTTCCTCTCCCTCCCCTCTCCTCATTCTCTCTCTCTCTCTCTCTCTCTCTCTCTCTCTCTCTCTCTCTCACCTAGTTAATAAACAACCAAACGAAATTAACGTGCCTAAGCGGATTAACGCGCC